AAAGGTAACTTCACCTTTCTGCTTATATTTACCTGTGTGTCTGCTCGGTGTTTGTGTTTATTTTGCTATTTTTTTTAATTTTTTATTTAGAATCGAACTGTGGCGATCATAGATATTTTGTATGTAATGACTGGCTGATGTGATCGTCGATTGGACTCAGTTAATATTTTAATTTAGCTTTTAACACCACACATAAAAATTAAATGAATTATTAAAACCTGCAAGTGTTTTTCTCAAACTGAATTAAGATGGTAGATGTGTCGTTATCTATCTATCTATCTATCTATCTATCTATCTATCTATCTATCTATCTATCTGTTATAATCCATTCATATCTGTCTCAGTCTATGCATATCTATCTATCTATCTATCTATCTATCTATCTATCTATCTATCTCCATGTAACTGTACGCATTTCAGCATAGAAACTCTCATACGCATATATATATATATATATATATATATATATATATATATATATATATATATATTATTTTGTATATGCATAGATGATGGAGAGAGAAGTGACTGAATCTCAATTCTTTCAGAATTTAGGTAGATCCATACAGACACGCACTCGCACACAAACACACGCATATAGACATACACACACACACACACATATATATATACATACACACATATATATATATGCATATATACACACACAGATATATATATATATATATATACACTCATATATTTCTATGCACAACATATATATAGAGATATTTTTCCTATCTCTTTTATTCTACCTCTGTTAGACTCGATCGAGTATATTTTCATTACCACTAGAACTTAATGTGAGCTAGTATATATATAAATATCTCTGTGTATATGCGTGTGTGTATGTGTGTGCGTGTACTTTCAAAATGTCTCTATATATATATGTGTGTGTGTGTGTGTGTGTGTGTTTTAAATAGATCTACAAGGCTTAATGTAACTCAGGAACATTCTGTCGCATGGTCGAACATTTATATATATATATATATATATATATATATATATATATATATATATATATATATATAAAGATAAAAAATGGGAACAAATGGAGTATAATTTAATTTTAAAGAGACCTTAATGGCGAGTAGAGCTAAATATTTTTTTTTATTTTCGGATATTAAAACAATAACATCTTAAAAATCGCTACACGATTACAATCATGTTTCAACACCACAAATGTGTCTCCTCACCAGTGGTTTGACATCGCCGGAAGAGACAAATTTGTGGCGTTGTAGCATGATTGTAATTGTGTAGCGATTTTAATATGTTTTGTTTTTCATATCCTAAAATAAGTAATATATATATATATATATATATATATATATATATATATATATATATATATATATAGAGAGAGAGAGAGAGAGAGAAAGAGAACAGAAAGAGAGATTGCGAAAAAGATATCATTTTTGCTAAGTACTTTCGATATTGCTGCATTCGTTTTCTATCCAATTTTTTAGGATGTTTTATGTAATCGATATATAGAGAAAAGGTTACGCCTCGCCATTTCAATTATATGATGACTTCTAGTATTGCGCTTAAATTTATGGAATCTAAGTAACATGGAGGAAAGTTCATCAGAACAATTGAATTTAAAATCTCCCTGTCTCTGTCTCTCTCTATCTTTCTCTCTCCCTCTCTCTCTCTCTCTATATATATATATATATATATATATATATATATATATATATATGTGTGTGTGTGTGTGTATGTGTGTGTGTTAATAAATATACATACACTTATGTCTATTGTGCGACTCGAGTTTCGTTGTTTACCCAATTCATCGGCTACGAGAAATCGCTTACTGTTTATAAACAATAAGCGATATCTCGTGCCCGATGATTTGTATAATCAATGAAATTCGAATCGCACATCAAACGTAGGTATATGTATATTTATTAACATATATTTCTTACCTCTGTCTAATCACATTGAGCATCATTATGTTTACACCTCTAAATTTGGTAATTATTCATTTGCTTACCAGGGTATGCACGTCAGCACGCGCCTATACGGACGCTAATATCTCGTTATCTCTTTTACCTTACCCTATATATAAAATTTTATATATATATATATATATATATATATATATATATATATATATATATAAATATATATATATATATATATGTCCATATATATTATCAAGATTTTTACATATATATATATATATATATATATATATATATATATATATATATATATGGGTTAGTGTTATATTTCAAGAAAGCTTGTAAATGTAGGTTGGGCTAAGTTTAAGGTTGCATCTAAGAAATCCACTTGTTTAGAATTAATTTTAACCTTGTCTACTTACCTCCGGTAGAATTACTTATTACCATCAAGCTATCGTCCGTATAAATCCCTATAATATTTAAGCTTATTAGATTATTGCAAATTACCTTTGGACTTTACAATCAATAGAGATGCTCAAAATTGTAGCCTTTACCTTCCAGACATTTATTAGCACGGTGAAAAACTGCTAGGGCAACGTTGACCAAAATGTCCAGTGGAATTGCTTCACATGAATGTTCAAGAGCCGACAATGTGCACTGTTTTCTGCGATGCACAACATCCTTTAGATTCCACCATAATAAATAGTGTTATTGCAATTTCATAAAAATACCAAATTTTTTCCATTCCTGAAGTGCGCAAACATTTTTGGGACTTACTCCTTAAATCATCAAATCCTATGATTACTCTTCTGTTTTTTTTACTCTCTGTTATCAAATCCTATCCTTGCTCTTCTCTTTTTTACTCTCTATTAACAAATCCTATACTTGCTCTTCTCTTTTTATTCTCTATCATTTCGTACTTGTTCGTTTGGAAAATGCATGAATTAAATCTTACTTGTTGACCGGGTTACTGATCACACCCCCGCCTGATACTTCCGTTACCATCTATCCCACTAAATGATGTCGTAGGTCACTTGCAGTAGAGATGTTGCAATCAAGCTGTACTGGCCCTGAGGAGTACATTGTAGAAAAGCTTAAGTTTTCAAATCTGTTTTATTCATGTTATTTTGTGCATCTAATGGCGAAGGTTGAATTTCGAATCGGGACACGCTGTCCATGAAGACCGTTAGCCGCTATTAAAGAAATAATCGACAGTTATAAAATCAACAAATAGCGATCTGTTACAAGCTTAGAGTTTATGTCTGTTCATCGTTCTCTTTTGACAAATTCATCGATCATTTAGTATCTCTACCGTAATCTATATTCAGTTGCTTCAAAAAGATATTTTTTCGCGTGGAAATGAAAGCCTAATTATTGAATCGCTCTTCATAGTGAGATAAAGAAACAGCAACTAACCCCCACTTCTTTTTCTTCTTTTTTTTTTTTTGAAAAAAAAACAAACAAAAAACTTTCTTTTTCTTTCAGGACGTAGGCACTCATGGCAGTTCTCAAGAAGTTCCTCTCCCTCAACTACCTCCCCCAGACCACGTTCTGTCATCCACTTGTTTAAGCCCGCTATGTATGACATGCGTTGTTTTCCCTTGTCTTTCTTTCCCTCTATTCGACCTGTGAGTATCAGATTCTCCAGGCCTTCCTTCCTCACTATGTGTTCTAGGAACTTCAACTGTTTCTTCCTCAATTCTTAACCACTCATCTTTCTTTGACTCAGCCCGTACACGTTTTTTATGCCTGTACATACTGCTAGTGTGAGACTGGTATACAAAAGCAGGGTTCTTTCTCTGCTCACTCTACTCTACTAATGAACTCACAACATAAGGTTTTATTGGTATATATATATATATATATATATGGATAGTAATGGATAGTGACTCGGATTGAGGAATCGGAGAGCCGAGTTCGAATTCCAGTCGAATCCATTACATTCACTTACGTGCTAATGCCCTTGGGTAAGATGGGCATCCTCTTCTTCTCCCTCCCCCAGATATGGGTAAATAGCCGGATATACTGGGTTCTATAGCCATGTATGGTAATTGCTCTAGGAGAACAACAACTCAGAATTCAGTGGCGCGTGCTGGACCAAGTCTCTCTATTGTGGTTGATTCTGTACAAAGCCTTCGCCACTATAATCAAGCAGGTGTCCGGCTCTCTTTCATAGGAACTGAGTTGCTTGGCTCTCATACGACGCAAAAACACAGAAACATATATATATATATATATATATATATATATATATATATATATATATATATATATATATATATATAATTTTATAGGGAAGTGCGTTCAATATCATATATAAAGTGTATAGGCAAGTAAAGACAGCTGTTCATGAGATTAGATGGTCTAATGATAGCTTATGTCGTAAAATTGATAATCGACATAGGGTGTGGAATATTACAACATGAGCGATTACACATACATATGTACACACGCACACAGCACACAGTTACACACACGGCGTTGTGCATGAAGATGATAGATAGATAGATAGATAGATAGATAGATAGATAGATAAGAACTGACTGATGTCGATAGATAGATAGATAGATAGATAAGATAGATATCGATAGATAGATAGATAGATAGATAGATAGATAATAGATGAATGAACTGATAGATATATAGATAGATAGATAGATAGATAGATAGATAGATAGAATAGATAGATGAGAATAACATATATATATATATATATATATATATATATATATATAGATAGATAGATGAATAGATAACAACAGACTGAGATAGATAGATAGATAGATAGATAGATAGATAGATAGATAATAATAACAGACTGAGATAGATATAGATAGATAGATAGATAGATAGATAGATAGATAGATAAAGACATATATATATATATAGATAGATAGATAGATAGATATAGATAATAACAACAGACTGAGATAGATAGATGGATAGATATATAGATATATATATATATATATATATATATATATATATAGATAGATAGATAGATATGATAGATAGATAACAACAGACTGAGATAGATAGATAGATAGATAGATAGATAGATAGATATATATATATATATATATATAGATAGATAGATAG